AGTAATCGTCGTCGTAGTAGTAGCAGGAGGCGCCAACCTGCAAGTGTGACACGCCTGTCTTTTTTTTGCCCCGGTCAACAGCCGCTTCAGCGCTTGTTCGCGGACACTGGTTTGTTTGTCACCCATCTTGAAAAAAGTTTTCACGGTGTCATAGAGGGTTTAAGGGAAGATAATATATTTACGATGACATAGAGTTTCGGGCTTAGGGCTCCTGTTCGATAGGGTTTTCCGAGTAGATAGGGTGTTTCTATAAGTTAACGTTGTTCTCTTAGATAGTGTGTTCCTATGAGATGTGGTTTTCCTAGATCGTGTTTTGCTCTTAGATATGGCTGTTCAATCGATTGGGTTTTCTCTTAGAGAGGGTTTTCCCACTAGATAGGGTTTTCCTGTTAGATAGAGTTTTTCCTATTAGACAAGGCTTTCGCATTTGATGGATTTTTGCATTCGACAATGGTGAAGGGAGTTCTCAGTGAAAACGGTTCGGCTCGGATTGGGCAGCCGCAGCAGTAGTTGTAGTAGCAGTAGTGGTACTCGTCCGCCGCCTGCCCTTCTAAAGTAGTAGTAGTAGTAGTAGTAGTAGTAGCAGCAGTAGCAGTAGCAGTAGTTGTTGTAGTAGTAGTAGTAGCAGTAGTAGTCGTAGTTGTAGTAGCAGCAGTAGCAGTAGTAGTAGTAGGAGTAGTACAGCAGTCGCAGTAGCAGTGGCAGTAGCAATAGTAGGAGAGGTAGTAGTAGCAGTAGTTGTAGTAGTACTAGTACTATTAGTAGTAGTAGTAGTAGTAGTAGTAGTAGTATTCATTCCACACGCAGCGAAACCGTCCGCTTTCGCCTAGCGAGCTGACGAAATACGAGGTATTCTCGTATTCCGGAACCTTTCTAGGTTCTGGAGGGCCTTAAAGCCAGCTCCATCCATTCTAGCTGGATTTCACCAACCAGAGACAGATTCGTTCACTTGTAATCAGCAGTGCTCAGTTCGCCGAGGCCTGCATGAGCCATAGTAGGTAAGTGGCACTATCATGCTCCCTGAGGATGGGCACGGGCACACTTTCATCATCCGAAAGCCACACTTGCTCTTTTCCGAACTTTGGCTGGCCCAACATAGCCGTTCTGTAATGACCCGTTGTGGGTCGAGCACCGTAATGCAGCTGCATCGCGACAACCTTGTATGGGACAAGATGCACATTGGGAACATCTGGTGCGGTGAAGATCGGCATGTGCACCAAACATTGATAGCCCAGCAGCGGCCTGTGATCTCGTCGCATGACTCCTGCTTCCCAGATAAACCTTGGGATTTGTAAACATACAATGTTCGTCGGCTGGGTGAGGGCATGCACAGAGGCCTGAGTATGCCACTGATCAATCATTGATTGCAAAATCAGTTGTTCCCCTGCATGCAAGGCCAGAGTCACCGGGGCAAGGGTAGTGCCTCTGTCGGTGACACGGGTGATGTCAGCAACCTTGCATCTTGCCTCCCAAGAGCCTTGGAAACCCTGCTGATGGAGCCTAGGCAGGAGGTAAGTGACCAATTCTGCAACATCATGCTGTGCATGTAGATTGTTCCAGGATTGCAGCTTGGTCAGCAGAGGGAGATGATTAAGCACCTGGGTGGAGGTAACATGGCGAGCACGTGGTGCCTGAGCCAGAAAGCTGAGTGCTGGTACCAGCGCTTGGTGAAGGATGCCATGGAGTTGGGCCTGAAGCAGGGTCCAGACCATGGCTATCAGGGTTGAGTTCAGGTAGCAAAGGTTGGTGTGGTTGCGAAGTGAGAGCTTAAGAAGTCTGGCAAGTCCGGGCTTCGCGCTCATTGGTAATTCCAGGGCTCGTTGACCAGAGAGTCGTAGGCTGGTCGGTCGCGTCTCAAGCGACACCCCAGCACATGCCATGCTGCACTCCCGATCCAGCCCTGCAGTGTCGACCAAACTGGGGCAGCCTCCGGCCTGAGGGAAACCACCAATTGAAACTGAATCCATTCTGCCTGGACCCCCGTGGTCAGGTGCCTCAAGCTGCGGAATCGTAGAATCGTTTCCTCCGTGGATCCTCGTCTCATCTGCACCAGTTGCGACAGCAGGTCCTTGGTGGGGACCCCTCTGATCTCCGAGTCGGCCTCCAGGGCTTGTTGGCCTGGATTCCAGCGCAGAGTCAGCCAATGACCCTCTGAGTCCACCCACCCAAGTGACTTGGCGTGGGTCATGGCTTCCTCCTTCTTGCTCGCTGCTTCCAACCTTTCGTGTAGTGTGATCAGCATCTGCTTGAAGAGGGCAATCTTGAGTGAGTAACGTCACGGTCTCGCACAGTACCGGTACCATCCCAGACTCCCCATTCTTCATGAACAAATGCATAACCATGTCCTGTCGGAGGGAGGCGAGGGTTTGTTCTTGCCTCAGGACAAGCTGGGTAAGCTTGTGGACCTTGGTCTCGATCCACTCCGATTGGGTCTCGGAGTCCTTGTACTCGGACATCGCATCCTCCCTCCCCCAGGGAGTCGCCAGTCCGCTTCTTGAACCACTGCTGTATGCCCACATCGCCGCTGCCGGGTACATTCCTCGCTCCGTCTTGGGTCCTAGCTGCGGCCCTCCTTTTCCCTTGCCCTTGCCTCGGCCCTTGCCCTTGTGACTCTTCCCCTGACCTTTGGGGTCTGCGTCCGTGCGCTGCGGTTTGGCTCCCCCTTGGTTGGAGGGAGGATTCCCCAGGGCCCCTGAGGTGGAGGGCGGGGATTGCCTGAGCGGGCCCAGTTGGCCGAAGAAGAGAGCCTCCTGTGCATCCAGATCCATCTCGGCTGTTGTGGTGGTCATGGCGGTGGCGGACAAGAAGGGTAGCACAGGCACTAAGGACGGGACATTGGAACCAGTGTCGATCCGGATTTACGTTCTTCTGGAAGCAGTATCGG